CCTCATACTTATTTCATACACTGAATGAATGAACCAGAACATAATAGGCTGATTTTATCTTATTTCCTAGGAAATCCTGGTATAATAACAAGCTAAAATTCAATAGTTTACCTCTCTGTTCTTTCAGGAAAACCCAAGAGCTTGATCACTTCCCTTCATTTCTTTTTATCTTAGGTTTCTTTTCCTGCAGATGAATGATCTTCAAGGACTGAAGCTCTTATTATCATGCACTGGTGTTATTACTCTGTGCTATTGCCCAGTGTCACAGGATGATTTACTCTATCCATTAGCATGCATGAAAAAAATTCATCATTTTCATCTTTTACATGACAAAGACAGAACTTCAGGTTACTTTCCCTAATTCATATCACCATTCAATCCTTTCCTTTTTGTAGTATCAGGATTAATGTTAGCACCAACACTATTCTATTTGTCAGAAGTAGCTCACTTCAGGGTTTTTCTTTCTGTTACTGAACTGTTCTAAACTCATGAATCTGTTCTGACTTCAAACAGCTATCCAAGGTGTGTAGGAGTGCTCCCCAACCCCATTTAAGGGAATTGTTGTTGTTAAGTTGCTTCTGAGCAGATGAGAAGAGAGAAGGCTGAGAGCTCCAGGTTAAGCTCTTGACTGGGCATCACATCTTCCAAGAATTATTGTCTCTTTGTTTTTGAGGGGCAAAAATCCATACACTCATATAGCAAACTTCTGAAAAATATAATGTCTGGCAAAATATCAAAGCATGGTACTTCTGACTAAAGCTCACAATACTTCAGAACAGAGCACAGAACTTTAATTTATTGATAACTTCGCACTTGGCCACACAGAATCTATATTCTGTTTTGTCTCAGCTCTAGGCATTATTAATGCAGAGAACCAATGGAAGAAGGAACACAAAGGCTTCAGAGAAAGCAAATAAATGTAGGTTAATACAAAAAACTGAACTGATAGACAAGTAGATTTTATACTTCATCAGAAATGGCAGATAATAAATGAAATTAATTTTTTTAAATGCAATCAAAATCAAAAAAAGGTGCATTTTAGCTTTGTTGCTTAATTTTAAAAATCATAAACAATGTGCCACACAGAAAAACTATTTCAGACAAATTTGAAAACAATTATAGAATAAAAAATGTTCAGCTTAAAATAATTTAAAACAACTTAAAAAGCAAAGTTTACAGGAAATGCTGCACAAGTTGACTCAGTTTATCACCACGAATGAAATACATAGAAAAGAATGAGATATAATGTAAAATCAAAGGATATTTATAAATAAAACATGACAAAGTTCAAACTGAGGAAACAGGTACCATAAGAAGTCAACAAGTAAGACAGTATTAGCAATAATTTTTTTTAGTACAAAGAGGAAACTATTTATGTAAATAAGGCTATTTATAAGGTTATTCATACAAAGAAGAAACTAAAGATGGAAATAATAATAATAATGCAAAGTTTACTAATCAATATGCATTACTTCCCCCCACACACCATGCTTGACAGACGATATGAGTCTGCTGTAGCTTGCAGACAGATGACTCAGGCACCAGAACTAGTATATAAACCTAAAGCACGTAAGAATTGAATACCACAATTACATTATACATAAACCACATAATATATTATTAAATTGAACTAAATATAGCAGCTAATGTCAGCAGTACCATTCTTCATTTTGGAGGATGGTCTATTTTACATAAGACTATGATCCCTCCAATGCATACATCTCATCTACACACATTCTTCTTCTCCAGTGGGCAAAGATGCTGTGACAGCCAACTTTTCCAGATAAAACAACAACTACATTACAAGTGAACATGCAAACTAATTTCCAAATTTTTGCTTCTCCTTGAAATTTTCTATGAGTATTTCTAAAAATCTGGTCCACTCAACTTTTCTCACCAAAGTCTCTTTTGGATCAAACCCCATTTTTCTACTGAACCGGCAACAGATGCAAGTTGCAGCACGGCAAATTTCATTTAGATAAGATATTAGGAAAAATAATTTGACAAGGGTGGACAAACATTGGAACAAGCTGCCCAGAGAGGCTGTGGGATCTCCACTTTTTGAGACTTAATTCACAGCCCTGAGTAACCTGATCTAGCCCTGGAGCTGGATCTAATTTCAAAGGTGGCCCTGGTTTCAGTGGAGAATTGGACTAGACAATCTCCATGCTAAATTATTCTGTGATTCTATGAACTAAGGATGGGTTCATTTAATCTGACTAAAAGTATGTCTATAGGATTATCTAGATGATTATCCTATGGAGAAAGACAAGCACTTACGGAAGCAAATTCAACTCTACACCTTAGTCAGTTTTCTTGAGAAAAAAAGATGACCATCTTGGACTTGATACGTAACTTCTACATAATCTCAGGTGAGACAGATTCCAGTTCGAGAAATATTTTTTTTTGATCAACTGCAACTACATGTTTATACTGAGCTTAATGGATAAAGCTAAGAGAAAGACAACAAAAGACAGTGACTTAACACTGCTTGCTAACACATGTACCATAACCAGCAGTCTCGAGATCTGCCATTTCAACAGCACATTTTTGACCTGTGCAAGAGAGAAGCATCTGACTTCCAGTTTCTTTTTGAAATGGGGCACTATTTCAATTTGAACAGTCAGTCTCCAACATGCAGGTTAGAAGAGCTCTTGTATCGCACTATGTGGGTAACAGATTGAGCCTGATTTTTTTTTACATGATTTGCATACTTTTGCCTAGAGAGTTCTATTTGTTGGGTTAGCAAAGTCTGTATTTTCCTAAAAGCAATTCCAGTAGAGGGCAGTACTCTTGATGAACTGTCCTGTCCTAATTTACCAGCGAGCCCAGAGAGACATAGGCACAGAGCGTTCCTGTATCCTATGTAAGATACCAACAAGCCTCAAGGTCACAGATTACAGAAACATTTAATAAAGGCATGTAAAGGGTGACCAAAAGAGCTTAGTGTAGATGATGACATAAGATTTTGCATTCCCTCAGAAATACCAAATAATTGCAGGAAATTTGCTGGGCAAAGGTTATGAAAAGCCATCAGCTATTAACAAACATAGCTACAAAGACTTGGTTACTACTTCTGTTAACTGTAGTATCAGATGCAAGCAAAATTACATGCTGAAAATTCCAATAACAGATCTTAAATAAGATTTGACCTAGGGTGAGAGTAATATCAAGAAAGAGGGATCTTTGCCTGTCTTGTCTTGTTGGGTCTCCTCATGGCAAATTCAGCTGCTGTTGTTGTCTGTTCCTTTTCTTTTCTTTCTTAGGCACAAACTGTATTGTCTCAGTTTTGCAAGAAAAGCTGTTAATACATTTTATTAGGAAGAATGCCACCTCATTACGTCCATGTTTTAGCAATGATTTCTTCACTGTAAAGCCTATCTGGTGGTCAAATCCACCTGAACACCTGCACTGCAGTAATTTTAATACAAGTTTATAATTTAAATAATTTTATCAACAATGACTATTATCATCTATTCACAAACCTGAAGCACCGGTTAGAACTCCCACCCTTCCAAAGGAAAAGCTTAAGTGAGATGACAAAGTGAAAGTCTCCCTCTGTACAAACAAACATGACAAGCTTGTGCCTGACTGGAAAATATCTGAAGCAAAAACAGTTCTGCCAGCAACTGCTGATTTCTTGAGCTGAAAGCACTTTGCAAAAAGCACCAGTTTTAATTACACTTCATGCATTTCGTCCAGCCAGCTCTGGCACACACAGTTGCAGTCCCTCAGAAACTGCCATTCTTCCTGATCAACTCATTTGGCTGGGACTTCAGGATCCTTGTCTGCAGTCTAGGTATAGGACAGCCCCAACAACCTGCCATTTCCCCAGGTTTCTCAAGCTCAAGGGAATTCTTGCCACTCTTCCACATTCCCAGGTTACAGGCAGCCTGCTGAATGTCTCCACCCTCAGATGAATACAAGCCGTGTGCTTGGGACTGCTAACAGCCTCCAGTTGGACTGGTTCAGCACAGGTCTGAAAGAACTCTTACTAATTTGCAGGATTTGGCTAAATGTAATGGCCACACCTTACTGTATATAGGTGACGACAGCATACAAAACCAAATGAATAGGTCTGCCATGTTCGCTACCTGAAACTTCCCTTCTTGTCAGCATATTCATGAAACATATTTTCATTCAAAAAAGCAGTGCTTTTGTTTGTTTTTATTTTCTTAACTAAGTACATCTCCTTGATACTTTTCTAAGATAATTGATATTAACAAAACTAATACAGCTTCATCAAAGATATCTTCCCTCCACACACGTGCTAATCTTGCCTTCACTTTGCACAAAAGTGTGTCCTAATCTATGATAACAAATTCTTCTGGATAAAGGTGAATAGATTATACAATATATAAAGAGTTACATGCGAACGGAGAAATGAACATATTGTATACTTGTTTTCATAATGCAGCCTTCAACGTTGCATATGCTTCATTCCTTCCCCCACTGTGTACTAATTTCTGGTTAGCCAAATCGCCTGTGTAAAATTTACAGTGAAGGGAACAGGACCAAGTCCCTCCTGTATGAAAGTGGGAGCAGACCTCTAATTGCATATAACAATCTATGGTCAGTTTTCTTTAGGTGCAAGGCTGAGAGGAAGATGTTCATCTTTTTTATATGTGCAAAACACAACACAGTTTCTTTAACTTGCATATCTGATGTCAATTTTCTGTGGGCTAAAGTGTAGTGCTATGGAGAAGGTCCTGAAACAGATGTGATGCAGCTGGCGCCAAATGAAGAGTGCAAGCTTGCAAACATGTCCTAAGTATCACAAGTTAGATAACTCTTCCTGCAACAATACCTTCTGCAGAAAAGAAACTGTTACAAAGGAAAGAATTTCCCAGCCAAGGAACCCTGTGCGCTTTAATCTGTAATTTATTCTCAATGATTAACCTAAAACCCCAACAATAAACTTATTTGTTTTACTTGCAAAGGAGCAAATACAGCCTCCAGTACTTCCACCTGAAGGAACTTGGCCGTTTGCCTTGACTTACCCGCTTATGAAGACGTTCTGCTTCCTCCTGATACGCAGCAAGTTGTTGTTTCCATTGTTTTACGTTGGCAGTGGACTCCAGCAGTGCTGCTGTGAGCTTAGCATTATTACCCTTGAGCGTGGCCAGTTCTGCCTCCCAATGCTTGCTGATTGTCGAACTGCACAGACAGAATGAGAATAGTCAGAGCCCTGAAATTTCTTCCCTTTTTAAATTTAACATAGCTTACACTTTTTTTTTTTTCAAAATATCCAGGAAAAGTGGAATAATGCAAAAATCCTATGAATGTCCAAATGAGAATCCAAATGCTCAGATCATCACAACTATAAATTCAGAACACACAGGTATATCATTATTGGAAAACAACCTCTATCCTCCCAGTTCAACATGGTACTTTTTTTAAATAAAATGTTAAGGATGATGAAATCCACATCAGCTTCCCAAAAGCAACAGAGTGTAACTGTAGAATATGTATATGATTAGTCACTATTTTAGTACATATGTACTGAGTGAAAGTGCTTTTTTAATCTACTACTTTATGAAACGTATTGTAGAAAAAGATTTTTCACCAGCTAGAGTAAGGAGAGCTAATGCTGCGCTTTGGAACTACAGCTTAGCTGTCTTAATGCAAGCCTTCTATCCCTGAAATATACTTTCTTTATTAAATACCATATTTAATTTGTACTTGCAAACTCAAAGATCGTGAATTTGAACATCATAATACTATTAATATTCCCTCCCTCAGTAATGTTAGCAAAGAGACTAAAGATCAAGGAGCAATAGACCTATCATGGCTTTATTGCAAAGAGGAAGCCTATGTTGGGGTTTACTGAAGTAGCCTGTGGAGGAACAATCCTTGCCTACAGTCTACTTATATTCTCAGCAAACACAGGGCTTTAATTTTCACAGGTAATTAGTTTGCCATCATCCACAGACCCCATCTTTGCAGTCAATATGCAAGGGAAAAACGTCAGCCACACCAGGTGAATACCTTAGTATGCAAATAGTTCATTAGTGTTTACTTGTATAATGCTAATAGCACACAAGCTGCACACCTACATGGAAAATACATACAGAAAAAAATCATTTTGTCTAAATGGCTTACTATTAAATACATCATTGAAAACCAAAGATCTGTAATTCTGGCCAAAATGATTTTTTATATAGGTTTGTGATGCATTATGAGGAATTATTAGAATCTAATTATTTATTACAATAGTATTTTTTAATATGCATAATTTAATTATAAATTATTATTATTTTTCATGTAAGTTTATAGGTTTATACAAACTTTGTACATATGAACAATCAAACCTTCTGCCACCATTTTTTTCACTGAGTTTCCTTCTTCCATTTTATGCATATGCACAGCCCACCCCATGAAAGCATATTCCAGAAGCATTATGACTCCTATAAATGCTCCTTAGGTGTTCAAAATCAACCAGCCACCAAGGAACATTCATTACCCATTCAGATCATATCTACTGTTTCACTAGAACATGATGTCTGATTCTTCCACACTCCAGCATTTCCTTTCAAATACACTGCTTCGTCCCCTTGAATAGGAATACAAGTTCCTTCAGGAGAGGAATACAGGTTCTTTCAAATTGCTCTAGCATTTCATGAGCTATTCAACTAATTAGAAGTTCACCACTGGAAATTTTAAATATTAAATGACTAAACTAAAATAATGATAATCCTACTTCATCAGGGAACACTGACTCACATATTAAAGAAGATCAGAACAAATTTCTGTAACAACGTCTACTCTTCTGTTTCTCTCATCAGATTTACTTTTCACTTACACTAGCACAGCAGATCAACAAATTCTGTAAAATAATATTCTAAAAAAATCTAGTTCACTGTCACATTCAGAAATCCTCCCTGATGTTCTGATCTGGCAAACAAATATCCATTCCAGCCATTTCATGCAAGTGAGTAGTTCTACTTAGTAGTCGTGCTGCGGCAGTACTAGAAGCAAATTGTGTGTGTGACACATATGTATGTTTACAAAATGTGCCTTACTAGTCATCTTTCCCCACAGAACAAATATACACATAAGATTTTATACTGATGTAATGCAGCAGATTAAAAGCTTTGTATCCAGGACAGTTTCATGGTGAGAACTGTTTCATCACCTAAGATCCTTATTTAATATGCAGACAGGGATCTGAAAGGGTTTTTTTTCAATGCAATAATTTGTATACCCACAATGATACAAGGTAAACTTCTGAGTCACAATGATCCCAGAAGACAGACTCTTGGGTAGTGCCAAGTAACAATGCGAGGGGGATTCATGGCGTGTTTCACCTTCACCTTTGCCCAGTGCCTTTACTACCCTGCCAAGAAAACGGTCAGGAGCTCTTAAGTTATTGCTTGTCTACTGTAATGTCAGCCGTAAATTCGAAGCATGTATTCTCTATTACTGCTATGGCTACCCTGGTTCAAAAGCTAGAAGTATCTTTGGAGCTACCTATTTTTAAATGGGTTGTTTTCAACAGGAATGCACCAGTATCATTTCTCAATCATACTTATTATCTTTAAGACATACATCCACATAGCGAGCATGAACATATCTATTGTAATGCAGATGTTTTTTGTTTGTAGCATATATATTTTTTCTACAAATAATTTCTACTGTGTCTTCTACAGGCTGTATGATGGCTCCATAAAATAGAAACATATTACTTACATTAGTCTAGCTTTATATCTGATAACACACAATGACTTCCCAACTATCTAGACTTACTGTTTCTTTTTACAAAACTCCACATTCTCTGACATAAACACAACCATGTGATGGATATCATACCAGGAAACACAGAACCAAATACATGAATTTTTTGTTTCATGAAGTTGTGATTTAGTTAAAATATCCCTTAACCAATCCTGGCAGTGCTGACTTTCTGTTTTCAAATACTTTCTTGACAAACTAAAAAAGAAAAAAAAAACTTAAAAAAGATTATTAAAATTATGGTTTGTGGATTATTTTGGTTAAAATTGGATTTATTTGGATTTAGATTAATTATTTGAGGACCAGATGAACGCACACACCTACAGCAGTCTGTTCTTAAGCTAGACTAAGTGTACCTGCATTGATGCCTGTCTCTGTAAAGCTACATTGTTTCAAATTTAACACCACTTCCAGAGGAAATGCTGAGAAACACAGGGTTCAGACACAATGAGCATTCTCCCTGGGAAGAGAAGATGCTGTGGCTAACACGCGAGAGAGAGAACACACAGATCCAGAAGCTGCAGGACAGGTGTGGAAAATTCAGTGCTCCCAACAACTGCCAGAGCCCATGGCCAGAATTTTGATAGTGGAACAGCTGCACTGCAGTCCCTCAGGATATGTACAGGAGGGCTGCGCATACTCTTTCTCGCTAAAACCTTGTACCTAATTCCTATTTGAAAGGCTTTTTGCTAAAAGGAATTGGTGTTGCCCTCGATGCATTAGATTCTGTCATACAAAATACACACACAGCTCTGTCAGGTTGTCTTAACAGTTATAAATATCTAAACTAAACCCAAATCATTCCTCATGTGTTCTGAGATTATTTGCTCTAGGAAGCACATGAAATACGAACAGTTACTCAGTGCTCAGAGTGATCCAAACTACAATGCATCTTCTACCGGAACACCTTCCCGTTTTGCACTGCAGTGCAAAGAGCAAAGCTGTATGTACACATTGGGGTACACAGGCATACGCATTTGCAGTCCTGTGGTGCAAGAATTCAACCTGCATACATGTTTTCTTTTGTTCTGAAAGCCATCCATCCCTTTTCTGACAGTGTCACAAGTCTAACTGTCATTTCTTCAGACCTGTCAGAATTAACATCACTGAGTGCCTGGCACACTCCAAGATTCAAGACAGTCCTCAAAAAAAGAGACACCCTTTGCACTCCTACTTGCTGACTGTTTTTCAGCCTGAGAAACTTCACCAAACTTTCAAAAATATCCCAACAGAGAATAAAGCTTGGTCATTTCCCTTGTGAAACTTCTGAACATCTCAAAATAAGCGAACCAGCTGTTTTGCATACATCACTACATTAGTGCCAAATACAAGAGGGAGAATGGGCCTCCAATGGATAATAGTAAAATATGAGTTTTATTGGCTCAACTGATCATGCTATACAAAAAAATACTTTCACATTACAGAGGTTTAGGTCTGATTGCAGAGAAAATTATCTTTACAATGAGAACTGTTCACAGGATCGTAAGCACTTGTTAGGGAGCAGAAGATGAAAATTCTCCCGAATGCCCCCTCCTCGATGCCAGCCACAGTGTCTGGTACATGTGTAACATCAGATGTGTCCACAGTCAGAACACCACATGGTGCTCCACTGTCAAGGCAAAGGATTCAGATATTTAACATCTATGGCATCCAGTAATTTGATCACTACCACAAAACACTCCTAGAACAACTGCTGGCTAGTATCATACAGCCTAACTGTGACACCCCTTGAAAATTAAAGCAGGAATCAATGATCTTCTGTACTTTTGGGCATTCTGACCAATCAACATCAGGCCGATCTCCTTTCTCATTGCAGATTAGTTACAACCCTAGTAAGCTACCGAGGAACAGCTTTGCTATCTGTCCATCTGTGACCTGAATAGAATGCCAGAAGCTATAAATGCATGATTATCTTTCTCTGCAAAGTAGGTCACTTAAGGAAAATTAATCTGAAAAGCTCCAGTCACCACATTTAGCCAGTTGGAGAAGGCTTGCAAAAGCAGAGGGCGGGGAGCACACATTAATGAGTTGCATTCAGAATGAAGTTATTTTGAGAGATGCCTTCATGAAACAAAGAAACAAAAACAGTTTCAAATCAAGAGATGTTTTCTACTTTTTGAATCAGTATTGCTTATTCATTGTTTGCTGAGTCGTGTGCAGTACCAACACTATAAAACACAGTTTAACATTTATTTCAGATTTATTGAAATGTGTGCAGAATTCTGCTTTATTAATATTTTATGGCTTTTAATATTGGATTCTTTGCATAAAATGAATTAATTTAAAAATTGGATTTCCTACTATAGCGTAGTTATGGTTTCAAAGAACTACAGTTACTCAAGAGCATGTAAATTTCCTTCAGGTGTCAGTAAGATCTGCACTGCAGATGTCTGGTGACCTGTGGTATCTTGGGATCACAGAAACAA